TTTAACAATAAATCCTTTTTTCAGACTTGAATGGGCAATGGTGATATTATAATTCTTCTTCCTACTTGAAATACCTAGTTATTACTAAAGAAGAAAGTGAACTTAAGGCCTCTTAACATTAATTCCACCTGATGGTGATCATCTTATTTTTAACTCCCACACTCTTTCTGATTTCTGTCCCATATTCAGACAATCAGGAACTACCATTGTTGGCATTTTGTAGTGTGAAACCTAGCATGTGTATTTTAGCACATACATCTAAGAATTTACATCAAAAGTCTTGTCCTGCCATTCACCTTCCAGTCATCTTCCAAACCTGATACTGTCTCACACACAGATCTCTGAGGTCAGAATCATATTATATGTGCACATAGGGGCCTAACTTAATTACAACATGCAGTCAGCAGGAAGATGTCAGGGGTCTCTAACCTTTGTGCAAAATTCACTGTAAAAGAAAGTGAACAACAGTAAAGGAAATCATGAACTATGCTATGGTACATACATAAGAACACATACACATATGTGATCAGCTGCTTTTTGCCATTTTTTGTGATACAGTGGTAGTTCTCTATTATTTTAGAAGACTGCCTCTTGAACCTACTCTTCCCTGTGCAAATGCAGTACTACACGCCACCTGGGAGGGCAATTATCTTTAGAATAATTTTTATTTGCTATAGAACTCCAAACTTTTCCTATAGCTTTGGAAGCATTTTCTGCAAAGTATTCATTCCTTCTCAGAAGGATTTCTTTCCCTTATGAAGAAGAAATTTTATACCTGAAACTTGGACCATTTGAATGGACCTGGGACTTTTATCTTAAATGGCAAGTAAAGACAACATCATCTCTTGATCTGTTATAAACATATGTTCCCAGCAAACGAAGCTTTTACTTCTAAGAAAATGGACACATTTCTGTGGCTTATAGTGCACCAATGTCCTTTCCTGGTCTTCACAACAACCAATAATGCTTTAGTAAATACATCTCAGGTGCTTTTTAAAAAATATTTTGTTTAAAATGCTTAGTAAAGTCCTTTAAAAAGTAATGCAATTCTAGCAATATCTTACATTTGGAAAAAATAGCTCATGTGCAAATTTGTAATGATAATTATGAATAAATTAAATCCATCATTGTAAGAGCATTTTTTCCTTCCAAGAGGAAAAGAATCCTATATGTATATTTATGATGATGCTTGAGCATGATTTATGAAATATCTTTATATGAATGTTTAATTATTTCTAGATTATGAAGCCCAGTGTTTAGAAAGTAAAGCAAATTTTAAAAGACCATAATACTAGAGCTAAGTTTCATTAGAACGACTGCATTGCTTGTGAAGCAGAGCAGTCAATAAAATCAATAAGATCCACCTCTAAATAAAATAGAAAGTCAAAACAGACTCACAATGTTCCTGATAAAGGTCATATGCTGAGTCATTCAGTGTTAAAACTACAAAAAGAGGCAAAAGTTGATCTCAGAAGAAAAATCAGGATGTTACTTCCTTCATACCCTCAATGCCTTTTTCTGTCTTTGCTGATCTTGATGCTCCTTTCTTTTAAGCTGGCTGCAATTTGATTGTGTTTGAGGAAGTTTCTGCACACCTTTACAACTGTGTGGGGCTTGTTAGTGCGGTTTTTTACCTCTAAAAGACAATCGTGTACATTTGTTTGTGATAATGAGGCTTACTTTTTTCGGTAATCTTGTTTTGCATGCAGTACCAGAATTATTTGAAAATATACTAACAGAGCTAGCAGGAGGAAAAAGAATTAAGAATGGAAGGGAAATCTTTACTTATCCTACTTGCCTTTTTTTCCTTCTTTTTTTTTTTTTTCTTCTTTTGTTCAAGAGGGTTTTTCATAAAAGTAAAGTGGCATGATCCAGGCACGACTTGTAAGAAGAATATATCCCACCAATTTTTCTTTTATAGAGAAAAGTGAGAACAGCACTGCTGAAATTCGAGATATTGTCTTCTGCCCACCAGAGCTCCCTGTGGAGAACCCAGAAGGCAGCACATTTGTGAGCTGCTGCTGTGAGAGAGGAGAGAACACTTCAGAATGGGGAAAGGTAGGATGGTCCCAAAGCCCAGTTTTGCTTGCATCACCCATGCTTTGAAAGCGTGGCACCTGTTTCTCATAATGTAAGGAAAGCGTGTTCATTGTTGAAATAGCTCAATGAAAACCAGTTATTCGTTTGGAGACAATATGAAAGAAGAAAATATCTTCCTGTCCCTCAGTGGAAAGCTAACCAGAAATGCTAACTATGTTTGTTGGCAAAATAATTGTGCTTATGATAACATAAAACTGAGGTCTGGCAAAGAAATTTTCAGAAATTATTATTATTATTAATTATTAAGCAGATGACCCAAACCAGTTCTAGCATCAAAAATAGCAAACATTTTCAAGGAAAATATATCTGTGGATCTGTGCATTGTCTGTAAAGTGTGTTCCATTAAGATAACACAGAGTATGCATCTTTTGGTATGTGATATTACCATTTTAGTATAGCAGTGGTATGATTTTTTTTTTTTTTTTTTTCCATAAGGTAGCTAGTTCTTGTGAACACCATTTAATGCTACTATACTGATGCAAAAATCCTGAGATGTTAAGACTAAGTTCTTAAACCAAATACCATTTCTGGTCCATTTTATTTGAGATATGAATGTGTCAATCATTTTGATTTCCATTATAAAATCATTCAGGCTGGAAGGGAGGTGAGGAGATCTCCTCCATTTTCCTGCTCAAAAGACAATCAGCTGCATAGGTTGCTCAAAGCTTTACCTGGGTCAGGTCTTGAACCCCAAGTCTGGGGAGTACAAAGCCTTTTCTTTTGCTTTACTGCCCTGCCAGTGAAAAAGTATTTCCCAATATCCAAACAAGCCCCTCTTAATCATCTTCTGTATGTATTTCTCATTCCCTCATTAACCCAGCAAGACTGGGTCAGTTCCTTGGATGCAGGATTACTAAGTAGAGGGGGTGTAGCAGAAACATATTTTCCGACTCTGGTTCCAAACACTGTTTCATAGCCATCCCTACTTTTGACTGACCAGCATGCAGTTAAGTAAATCAAGTTAACAGTTTCTAAAACCGATTCCTTCAATATAGACTCATTCTCTATTCTGAACAATCATATGACTGTGCTTTTCTGTTGCAATAAGTGTAAAATCCTAAAAAAAAAAAAAAAAAAAAAAAAAATAACAGTAATAAAAAAATAATAAATGAAAAAACTAAAACTTAGAAATAATTAAATATTACATATATATTACTATATACAGAGCATCATTGCTCTGAGAAGACTGACCATGATGAGATTAAGGGTGTTTCCCTGGCAATGCAGATACTGAATCTTCATTCTTTCTTTCTGAAAGGCACACCCAGTCCTTGAAAGAACATCTACAAATATTATTTTACTAAAAGCCTTATTCCTGAACAACTGTGTCATTAAATAATATACTTTCAGTTAAAAAGGAGAACTTATCACTTTGTATAATTTTATGACATTTAGATAATGAGAAGTTAGATATACATTTCTTAATTGAGGCATTGATAGTTTTGTGAACCAGCCTCCTGTACTTATAGAAGAAGAAGGCAGTTAGAGCTTTCAAGAAAAATGACAGAAATCCCTTGTACAATTTACACAGCTCCTATGAAACTCTATAGACTGGAAACATCCCTGTTTGGTGGAAGGGAAGGGAAATATGATTTTCACAGAGATCAAAACAAAACAAAAAATAATAAAAAAGATACTTCAGTTTGGATTTTAAAAAAAATGAGGAAGGAATTTCAGTTGTAAAAAGGATCAGAACTTCGGTATATGGTGATTATGAATCAGATTTTGCTGGGGAGTGGCAAATTATTGAATGGGAGGCACAAGTTTCTCCCATCTGAAACTTGTTTTCAGTGCTGCCTTCACAAACTTAAATGTTTTTATTTCACATTTTGTAGTTACAGATATTAGGGATATTTTTGCAACTTGAAAAATTCATTTTAAAATATTCAGCTTGTGACCGAGAAATTAAATTCTTCCGGTGCACATATTCCATTTCCTATTTTAAAATTCTTCTACTCTTTTCAAATACCATTTCATACAATCTAAATAGTCTTCTATGGAAAGCTTTTGAGTTTTTTCATACAAACTTATATAAAAATGAAACATGAAAGGAGGATATCATGATCAGATACCTCAAGAAAAGACAGCATTTGAATGGTCAGCTTTAAAACGTGTGTGTAAGTACATGTGATTTTAAGGTAGTTTTACCCCACTACAACTGAATAAGGATTTAGTTTATTTCTTATTAAAATAGTAAAATATGACAAATGAAATATCAATGAACAATGATATAAAATGGTACCAAAGTGAAAAATGACAAATTCTTGTTCATTACTTTGCAAAAGCTCCCTTCAGACACTGATTTCCCAAAACAATCTGTAGTTAACAGCTGCTTGGACACTTCTTGTTTGTTTTATATATTGTACTGCTAAGTGGTCTGTTTCCAGAAAGAATCAAACCTCAAAATGCAACTTTTAAATGCCCTTGGTTTCCTAAGGCCCGTCTTATATTTCACACATTGCACCTCATCTTACTAGAGATATTGCCCCAGATTAAGGTGAGCTCTTGACAACGAAGTTGACTGGTGGTCTGCCAGTTTGAGGCATATGTGTATGTATAGGAAAAATATGAGTCCAGCTTTAGTTAAATGCTTCAATTTCTAGCTCCAGATAAATATCATACATAGGCAAACATGGATAAAATTTTTAATTTGGAGAAAAGCTTAATACTTAGGTTTGTCACCTATGACCCCAGCGTCAGCAGTCAGTTTATGCTCTCCAGATAAAAACAGTGATGACCTGTAGCAGAGTTTCATGCACAGAATAAAATATACAACATGACTGCTTCTACACTAGCAAATTAAGAGTTCTAGAGGATTTTGGGAGCTGTCTTGATCTTCTGAGCCATCCAAATGAGAGAACAGTCCAAGATGGTCTTGGCCTGTGTGAACTGGCACTCACCTCAGTAACTCCAGGGCACAGTCTGAGAGTTAGCAAGAGCATTCTCAACAGAAACTCTGGCAAGGGGCACCCCACATGGGACTGCAAGAGAGATTAATGGAATGGGCATGGGCTGTTCTCTGCCAGCAGGTCTCAGTGCCATAGAGAGTGGTCCTAGGGTCATTAAACTGACTGGTGAAGGTTTTGCCTTTACTGGCTTGCATGCCCTGCTCAAAGCTAGTGGAGCACAGGCCAACACAGACAATACCCTGTCCTTCCCAGTGGCTTTTTAATGGGGGCTCAACCCTGCTGTGATGCAGCCATGGCTTTAGATTGTTTCCTAAAATAGTCAGAATATGTCCAGATCAGCTTTCAGCATGTCAGGTACTATGCTTATTACCAGATCACTGTCCAGGCAGTAGGATGACCTGCAGACTACTTAGCTGTGCTTGATTATTAACAAAATTCAAAGCACAGTTATTCTGTTTGTGCCATGTCTGATAGCAATTCCTAAACTCTGACCCTTCAGGAAAAATATTCATTTCTCTGTAGAGACATATGCTTTGAATTTTTGCTAGTGTGTGTTCAAATGATTTACTGTAGACTAATTAGGTAATTTAATTGACACAACTATTTGTAATACTTGTGGAAATAGCATATAATGCCTCACTTTTTGAATTCTTGTTTTTTTCATGTCAGTTATCCTCAGTTTTCTAATCAAATGATTTTGTGGAAGACATACAATGAGATAAAGCATGACATGAGAATTTATGATTAAAAAGGAAAACTCTACTCCTTGCTTTTCAACGAGGTATTTTGAGCCTGTTCACCTTTCTTACGCAAATGATATATTATACCATTCTAGCACAAAGAACCCCATATGAGATGGTATTTTTTTGTTTAAAATAAAGAGCCTAGATCTCATCAGAGAGATGCTGATTTTACTGGATAGAGAAATAATAGTGCAGCAGGTACTGTGGAAGCTTATCCACAGAGTTCTGCCAACAGAGCCGAAGTTTGACCTGCAGTACCCTCTGTTATTTTATTGCCACTGGATGCCAATTAAGTTCATCACTAAAACTGCAGTAACCTGTTCAGCACAGTTTGATATCTTTGATGAACAAACAACCTCATTCCTATGCTGAAGTTCATGAATGAGTGGACTGATATTCACCTGTTCAGCACAAAATAAAATTGATTTTGAAATCAAGTAACTGTATCTTTTATCAGAAAAGTCCATTTGTTCTACAAGTGGAAAGTAATACATCTGCTTAAACTGTTGTGACAGTCAGAACATGTGATCCCAAATGTTTGTGCACTAAATGGTTTTTCTAGGATATAGACAGATGTCTATGCATCCTGAGTCAGGAGCAGCCCAGCTCGGCATGTAAGCTGGTGCCTGTTCCCTGTTTCATGTTTTCAGAGTGCTCCTCTGCCATGCCTACACATACGGAATTGGCATTGGGAGTGGTAGGGAGGGTATACACAGCTGGTCATACAATAATTCAGACAATGATGGTTTTGGAAAATATCACAGAAGGAAATGTGCTGCATGTTTGCTCATAGTATGTCTGGCATTCACATATACATACCAGGTCACATGGCAAGAATATAGCATATCAGGCTGACAGTAATATATATACAGTATAAAAGTGACAGCATGAGGCGTTGACATTGTCCCATCACTGGCTTTGTGGCTAGAAATTTCTGAAAGACTAAGCATCTCTGCTTTAAGTCGATTCTCACCATGAGAGCACTTAATAGACAATATGCAAATCCTTCCCTTACCACAGTGATTTGATTCTTATGGCAAAATAGTTGAGATCAGGAAGCTAAATACATCATATTTTGTGATACTGACTTGGTAATCTCAAACATAGCATTAAGTTTTACAATGCATCACATAACAGAACTGTAAAATAGAAACACTAAGCTCTATATAATTCCGCTAGTGGAAAAAAAAGCATTGTACTTTAAAAAGAAAAAAAATTGTTTTTGTTCATGTGTTTTCTTTTCAACATCTGGACCTCAGCTAGAAAGAAACAGTAATGCATTTGTAAGTCTGCAATACTTTTCAGTTGTAGCAGCTATTTCATGAACTCAAGAGCAAAGCAATTCCAAACTGGAAAAGTACCAACCACTCCTACTATTCAACAAAATGTTTTCAGAAGCTGTAAAAATTAAACAAAATATAAATAAATAAATAAAAAATAACCAGCCTGCACCAGATTCAAATTTGAATATAATGAAAATAATCTGCTTGGGATCTAACTTGTCAAATACTATCTTTAGCACTCTAAATTCACAGTCAAATCCATCTATAGTCACCATCATCTTTCAATTCTTCACAGTCTTCTACAGATGGCAGTAAAACCAATAACCAATCCTTGTTGAAAAGATTCTAATCCTGAGCACAGTGATTTTTCAGCAAGCATGGCAGTTGACTAACTTAGACGTCAACTGAATCACGCATGATTTTCAGATCAAACACAAGGACAGCCAATTACAGGTGAGGTCAGTAGTAACATCAGCTGTTCCTAGAGATAACAGTAACTGTAACTGTAGGGACATTGGTGATATCTCAGTAGATATAAGACACCTATGCCTGACAAGATCTTCAGCTAACAAGATATTTTACTGTGGTACTGCTCAGTGTTTGAGCCACACAAAATGGTGAGCCACACAAAACTAAAAACAATTCAGTAGCTCCTTACAGAAAACCCTTAATAAATACAGATGATAGAAATGAACTGAGGGAGAATACTTATTTAACATTCTGCTCCATCACATCTGTCACCATCTGAGGACCTAATTGATATGGCTAGTATTAACACATTCATTCTTTCAGGTTCATCTTTATGCTGTAACTATTATTCCCACCATAGAATGCCTGCCCACATCCAGTGGGAGAAAATAGTATGTGGATCTCAGAACTGTGTTGTTCTTTTCCCACTTCTCACTTCTTCATAAATGTATCCAGCCTCTGAAATTCACAGTAGAATTCATATGTAAATGTAACTGGTGTCCTATTTAAGTTCATTAACAGTAATAAAAAATGAAGTCATATCCCTAGGTCCAATATAAGACTTAGATGCCTATAAAAAGAGATACATGAATCTTTCAAGCATTGTCATTCATGGTGGTATACACAAGGATTTATGCTGTATGCTATGTAACGTGATCTCTCCAAAAAAGTCAGGCTGCGCTAATAGACACCAAGGAAGGGTGATCTCAGCTCCCATCTGTCACTGGAAAAGGGGAAACCTGAGTCCATGGAATATTTGCTTTCATGAACCCTTGTTAAGAGCAGAGTTCAAAGCATTGCCTTTAGAAGTCAGATGATTTATGGAACCTCTATTTACAAAACAGCTTACTTGTTAGAGTGTGGAACTGGAAATTCAGAGACCAGCTAAGGCTTGAATAAGAAAAGGTAGAAGAAGAACTGAGGTCTTCTTCACTTAAACACCCTAAGCTAAAGGATGCTAGCTGTGATTGCTGTGTAAAACTGGGAGTAGAACTATAAAAGCAGATATCACACTCAAACATGGGACCCCAGGTTCCTCCCTCTTAAGTTAATCTCCAAACAGCTAAACCAGGAATGGCCAGCTGTAGCAGAAGTGCTAAGTCAGGGCTTGAATCATTGATTGAGCACCTCCTAGGAAAGCAGGGCCAACCCAGGCCAGCTCAGATGCATACAATGCACGTGGGTGACTGGAAGGGGTTGAACCAGGATTCACCCCATCCCAGACCTCATTTAAGAGTTGGCAGTAGAGGTAAAGCTACCTTGCTTGAGATCCTATACTTTTTGAGGCCTTCAAAGGTAAATAGTTTTTCTTTCTTTTTTTCTGAATCTATAGCTGCTGCATTTGGGCTTGCTGACTTGTGCCACTCTGCTATTATTACCATATTTTCCATTGCATTATAGTATTATACCAGTCTACTTAGTTTCACATTAAGTATATATTCATTTGGTCAACAGCCATACAACATCTATGGTGAAGCCACCTTAGGAGTGGCTATAAACAAGAGATGACAAGGACTCTTCAGAAGAGATGCCGTTCCATTATCAAGCAGAACTGAAATTTTCTGGAAATCCTCATTCAAACTTAATGTGATGCCACTAAACTTTTATTCTCATTATGATTTTGCTTTGCCAGGATGTTATAGTATATAGAGTATATATAGTATATAGAGATGCTACTGTTTAGCAGTGTTATTGCACTTACCAATTAAGACAAATACAAGTGCACTGTTGAGATCACTGATCCTGTCAATGTAAGTCATCCGTACTTATGTATGTTGATTAAATCAGGCTTTCTAGAGGATTTAATGCGGGACTTTACTTGAGTTTAGGTCTTGGTGTGTTTTAAGCAGGAATTTCTTAACTAAGTCTTGCAGCCAAAACAACACCCGTAATTACCTGAAGAACTGAACAGAGGAATGATCTGAACTTTCAAAGCATACTCCTGCAATATCATATTTAAAGTCTCTGTTTTACATTTAGGAATGATTTTAGATTTTGCTTAAATCATACTTCAGCACCTGTATTCATCTTTTATTTCTTCTTAATTTCCTTCCATCAATCCACTTCAGCCAGCCAAGTCATTCTTTTTTTAAGTAGGTCTTGTTATATCCCAGTTTTTTAGAGGTAGAGAGCCAGAAGAGTTGAAGAGGATTATCCCTGTCTTCTCTCTTCTTGAAAACTTCTCTTCTAACATGTCTTTTGGGAAAAGAAATGCCAGGGCAAAATCTGTTCTTAATGGAATCGGAGAGGTTTGCGCTGTCTTCACTAACAACAGTATTGAGTCTTTAACATGATTTAACCCAAGAAGAACAACCTTGTGAATCTGATTAAGCACACACTGTAATAATTATTCTGACAACTTGTATCTTCCTTTCCACAAGCTGACATTGAACTCTGGGGTAAAGTGGTTCCCAGTTAGATGGAGATTAAGCAATGCAGGAGATGTTATCTCATCTCTGACCTTCAATAACACCTCCATAGTGAGATGCATTACTCTGATCTCTCAAAGGGGAACTTGCTCATGCTTTGCTGGATAAAACTGTATTTTTTTCATTGCAAAATTAGACAAATTTCAAGGAAAAACTGCATATTATTACCCTGCATTAGAGCAGGCAAAGCTACAGATTTTGCCTGTTT